AAAAATCGAGTCCGATACGTCAAACGTGCTGGAATGACAGTTAAAATTCTGACATAAACCACGGAATGATTCGTTTAGTTCAAAATTAGTTTTGCATGGCTTTAAAAATAGAGGTCGAAAGTGTCTTGACACTCGAGAAGGAACATTAAAATTTACCTCAGCCAGGAGGGCCGGGCTATTTATCAAGCCTGTCATTAATTTTACGATAAATATTATACCTAGCATTTCTCTACGGCTTGCGAGTGTGGGCAAATTTATGAGCTTTAGACGACTTGTGTAAGGGGGGAGATTGTAATCTGAATCCCAGTTAAAATTACGCAATGCAAAAAGCAAGAATTGTTTTTGAATTGATTCAATCCTTTCTGAATGAACTTGGTAGCGGGGATTCCAAACAATAGATCCGTATTTTAGTATAGGTCTAACTAAACTGGTAAAAAGAGCTTTTGTAACATAAGGATCTTTGAACTCTTTTGACCATCGCCTTACAAATGCAAAAACGCCTTTGGCTTTATTGACTGTGACATTAATATGATGGTTGAAATTGAGTTTGGAATCCATTGTGATACCAAGATCGACAAAATTCGACACCTGCTCCAGATTATAATTTGATATTGAACAACATAACTTTACATTTTTGAAGGTTTAGTGGCATATAGTTTGTATTACACCAACTAACCACGTTGTTCAGATCCGCTTGTAACAAAGACCTTTCTTCGATAGAGGACAATGTTTTAAAAAGTTTTATATCATCGGCATACATTAAAATTTTTGAATGTTTTATTATAGAAGAAAAATCATTGATGAATATCAGGAACAGAATCGGACCAAGGTGGCTTCCCTGAGGAACCCCTGCAGAAGCTTTAATGACGTTGGAAGAGCAATTATTAACAATAACTCTTTGTGTTCTATCAGAGAGGTAAGATGAGATCCATTGAAGAAGACTGGGCTGAAAGCCGATTAGGTCGAGTTTACGGATGAGTACGTACTTTGTCAAAAGCTTTACTGAAATCGGTGTATATTACGTCGGTATGAGCATTTTCTCTAAAACCGTTTGAGACATGAGT